AGTAGAACAACGTCCTGAAGAGATTAATGTCCCCAACAAGGAACAATGAATACAAATTCTTTAATCAAAGACTCTGTTCTCCCAGCTATTGAGAATTGCTCATTTTTGTATGCTATAAAGCCATCTGTCCTTAATGCATCAGATGAGACATTTGACAAATGTTAGTTACATTTCACTAGGGCTTCATACAAGAGCCTTCTTATCTACTGCAACTGCCTTGTTTACTTTCTCTTCAAAAATAAGTATATATATAAGGTTTTCTGGAGGCCCAGTGAGGTGTGCTTGTAAGGTTTCTCTGCAAGGGCGGAAGTTAGAGATGCTTGAAAAACCATTTGGTTTGTTCCAGTGGGCTTGAATTTTGTTAACCATGGACTCGAAGGTGTAACCTGGAATTTAAAATCCACCAGTTTCACCATTTCAGATTTACCTTCAGATCTCCTAAAGTGCCATAATGTCAATATAAAAGGTTTAGTTGCTCCAAAGCCCTTTGCGAGTACGCTGACAGCCACAAGTCCTCTTCATGCACGCACACAGTTCCGACGCTGCTTCAGGTATGGCCGTCCACGGACCCAAGCTTAATCACTGCTCAGACACAGAGGAGTAGATCTGTGGCTAAAGCCTTGGGGTCTGGGGATGAGCAATGGTGAGCTCAGTGTGTGCCCCTCCTAACTAACAGTGTTCTGACAAAGTTGGGTTCTTAGCAAATGTTGGCTCAATAAAAATTGCCTTTTATTAAAATAATTATAAAAACATAAGTGGCAAATAGCATGAGAGCCCTGACTCTCTGTGGATGAAGAGACAACCAAATAACCCTTTGGAAACACTTCCTTTAGATGGCAGTCATGAGCTCACAGACCCTTTTGACACTGACAGCTTCCCTTAGGACCAAGAAGAGTTAACACTCCTGGTGTCTTGATTGACAGTCAAGAAAGCAACTGTACTTGGGATACATGAGTTTCCAGAGAACACAGCTTTCGCTTGGTTGTGGCGAGTGACAGTGCCAGTTTTGGTTGACTTACAGGTAGCATTGCTGTTTCTTAGGCAACGACATCACAATTGTTTTTGACAAACCATAGACAACTGAACTTCCCCCTTGCTCAATAAGACCATCTGGCAGGCTCTGGGATGCGTTCAAAGAGAGGCATTTCCTAACCCACTGTCTTCTCTTTCGACTAGGAATACTTTCTGAAACAGTATCCTAACTTAATGCATTTTCATAGCTAACTGATCCCACGTGTCTATTAACAGCAATCAACTCGGATGTCCCTGTCAGCATTACTCATTTCTCTTACACCATGGATAGTTCAAGAAAACTCCAAATATCAGAGAAGATGTAGATAGACTCTTGTTTACCAATGAGTGCTGTGCACAGCCGTGAATGTGAGGAGACATACAAAGATGCCTCTGTAGAGTAGATGAGAATGTTAAAGTTTCCCCAGAGACAGGCTACTACCGAGGCATTATTTCTCCTTACCCTGCCCCTCATTTCCTGAACCACGTGTTTGAACCTGGAAAATCCCTCTGCCAGTCAGAAGTCACAATGGCAAATCAACTAGCAGGTTTAAACACAAATAAGATGCCGTTCGTTGATCTTGGTTGTTTGAGTTAGTACTTTTCCTATGCAAAAGTAGAAACAGTCCTCCCATACTCCCACAAGTAAAAGCACATCCAAAATTATAGCAACCATAAACAAATTAATGACCTCATAATCAAATATTAACCCTGCGAACATCCTCTCATCCCTCATTGACTTTTTTTTTTGTTCATATAATAGAGCCATTTAAGTTTTTTACTCTTGGGATGAATGTCCACCCAGCTGATGGCACTCAATACCCATTCACACAGAAAATGCTTTTCTTTTCTAGTCTTCCTCATTCTTGTTTGCCTGACTCCAAATCGCCATCAAGCTAAGAAAGACGTCTGAGGATGGGGACATTTCCAAGCAATTGCCATTTATTCCTTTTCATTGAGGATGCAATTTAACAGCTAAAATGGAAAGCCTAGAATGGGCAATCGTTTTTTATTCAAGTCTGTATAAATGTAGCAATACAAGGCAACTGCTTTCAAGAGACACAGATCTTATTTATTATAGGAGGCAGCTCAAAGACTCTTGGGGAAAATAAAGCCTGTGGGTTCCTTCAACTTTTCAGACTGTTACAATTTTAGCATAATAATATGTCCTTCCCTCCATGTGTATACACACACACACACACACACACACACACACACACACACACACACACTTGTATGGATCAAAACCCCATGTACCAAATGCAATTACATCTGATGGGCCAGCTCACAGGGGCTAGAGAGTAAATTTTATTCCCACTCATTTGAAAGCAGGAGGAGGTTGGAATGTAAATTCAATAATTAAATGATCTAGATGCTATCAGATATCACACCACATTGATTCCTGACAATAGCAGTTTAGAAGCCTTGGGCTTGGGGATCACCACCATCCTGTAGAGACAGCCTGCAACCTTGACTTGACACTTTATACAAAGCGCAAGTCTTCAGGGCGCTCCCCAGGCTCCAATGTCTGTATTCACTAGTGTCCTTGACTTAGCGCACTGGTAATACAACCCTGGTCAGGCTTTCAGACTGTCTATGAAGATAGAAAAGGATTCCATCGATAAATCTCATTACAGCACACAAACACCCAAGGATGTCCCCACGGATCACTGAAGAGCTAGTTCTGAATTTCAAAATGCACTTTCTGCTACTGTAATTACTGAGAGATGGCGAAGCCAGGGAAGGCTCTTGGAGACTCCAAGACTCTTATACTAAGGTGTGCTTTTGGATACAAAGCAATATTGACTGCAGCTGTGTGTCCTAAACTCTGAAAACAAAACGCAAATAAAAAAACACTTCATAGAGGCAGTGGCTCTCATCTTCACATTCAGCATGTCTAGAGAATGGAATTAAAGGTGTAAAATGAAGATGCTCAGGAAATTTGTTATTTAGAAAAGACGTAACTTTCTCCCAGCTCATGAAAGATGTTGACTTATTAAATGGAGCTCCTGTTCCTAAGGCACACTATGTGCTAACCATTGAACTAAGTTCTAAGCATAGAAACACAAAAATCACAGTCTTATCCCAACACCCACCCCATCTATGAACTCCTGGAGTAAGTGAAGGGGCCAGGCCTGCAGATCCAAAGCTCCAGGACACAAGTCAACAACAAGAGGCTATCCAAGAGGAGCCCCAGTGAGAGCCCAATATCAGCAGAGTAGCAGAAGCCAGAGGCTTTGAACCAGACCAATGACCCATTGGGATGAATACTTAGGTGTAAAGTGTAAGCTGTGTGGCGCATTGAGCTACACTACAGCTTCCATGCGGAGATTTTGTTGTTGGTGGTGGTTTTTTTAAGCTTTTAAATTTTGATTTTGGAACAGGAAGGTTGCAAGGGCGAAAACCAGGGTAACAGGGAAATGAATGGGAGCTGGGTGGATGATGCGAAATCCACCAATAATCAATAAAAAGTTAAAAATAAAATCAGTCTCCATTTCAAGACATTCAGCCTATAATTTGAAAAACAAATGAATAAACACAGAATTAAAATCTAAAATATAACAAATTGGTTGAAAATGTGAAGTTATTCTCTAATGGCATATGGTAGTCTGATTATGTAGGGAAAGATTTGGTAATGAGGATAAACAAACACAAATGGTGCTTGAAATAAAAAAAAAATATTAGAGGACAGACAACGTCCTAAAAAAAAGAAACAGATTCTGAATGTATTTCTGGTACCATATTAATATTTTCACTCAAGTTTTAGTTACCAATTTCTTCAGGTCTTAAAGTGATCTAAAATATGTCTAAGTGTTACTATAGGATGAAAATAATATTATATGTATTGAATGTGGAATATCATAGAACATTCACAGATTAGACTTCTACCTTATAAAATTTACTATTTTATTATTCAAAAGGTCAGTGATTGTCATGAAAGCAATACCTGGATAAACAGGAGTAAAAGTATGAGGTACTTTGGTTTCATGATACTTGTAAGTGTATTGTGGTACTAAGCAACTCTATCTACCAGTCAGCTCATTCGCAGGTGACAGGTAACACATTTACAGTGAGAAGTGCCAATGAAGGCCAAGATGCTATTTATAAAGGTCAGCGAGGAAGAAACTCAGAGAGGGTGGTTACCAAACCCAAAAGGATAGAATTTTGCAAAAAGGCCACCACTAGCAAAGATATGGGTCTCCGTAAATAGTCCTACATAGATCCCTACACTGATCAGTCTTCTGGAGAGAAGAACACAATGGGAACTGTTGAAAGGAATTTGTTGCACAACCAGAAACTTCCTAGCATGATTCACTCTCTGCTTTTGCATCTACTTTTGTCCCCCCTTATCCAAATAAAAAGTGTGTGTCCTTGGCAGAGAAGTTATATGATATCTTAAAATAAAGATAATATGTGAGGACAGATAATGTGTTCCTTTGCTCCTTTCCTGAATCATGAGCCATTGTTTCTACTTACTACATCATAGGTCATGGTGGCATTTGGGGTCTCTGATCTTAAGATCAGAGCCAGTAATAAACACTAGGAAAGCTGGTTATAATTAATGTGGTAAATGGTTTATGGAACATTTGGAGAAGCTGGGGAATGTGCTGCCCATTAAGACATGCCATCTTTCCTTAATTCCAGGGGCCATGGGGTCAGTGTACTGTCTCTGGTCAGAGAACTACACAAGAGGCTGTAAATTCCTTGGGAGGTAATTCGGATTCATTTTCTTCCCAGCCAACCTGAAGCTGTCTTTTGGTCTATGCTTTTCAAGAAGCACTCCACTAGTCTGCCCATCCATTTCATTCCTAAGGAGCCATTTGCCAGAGACTCCTGTGGGTCAAAATCCTGTAATTAGCAATTTTTAAACATGATTTCATTGTAGTAATAGCGTCACCACCTGTTCTCTCTAATTTCACATGACATCGCTACCATTGAGATCAGAAACCCAGTGGTACTGAAATGCCCCTGAATTATATCAAACCTACCTGGTGACTCAGGGGTCTTCCATGGTGGCAAAGGGAGTGTCACCACGCTTTCCCGGAAGGTGTGACTGGGAGTCAGCCGAGCAGGGTGCACACTAAGATGTTTCCTCAGCATTTCCATTCCTGAAGATTCAGTCTCCGCTCTCTTTAGAATTCAGGGGAGGTGCTTCAGGCTCTTTTACCTCAAAAGCCAAGAGCCAACTTCATGTGTGCCTGCCTCTACATCAGCCAGTCCAACAAATCAGCCATGCCGCCATCAAGTGATTAACTTCTGAATTCCAGATAAGCTGGATTCGGTTCAATGAATTTAGTCTTGTTTGATTATATTTCGCCCCTTGCTTTAAAATCCACACATGCTTACTTGCGGCTTTCAAAAACAGAAAATGGACAGGTCTTTACTATGAATATTTCTTCTACATTTTGCTCTTTATTTAAATACAATTTCAAAAACACATTAAAATCGCATGAATGGCATAAAGAACTCCAATGTACATGTTGTATGAATTCAACAAGCATTAGCCTTTGCCTTTTCTAATATTCTACATTTGTGTTGCATCTATGTATTCTGAAATACTTGGCACTTGTGAAGGAATTACAGACATCGTGTCCTAAGATAAAGAACATTCTTGGCTCCCTTAAACAACCATCCTACAATTATCAAAAACAAAGAACAGAAAATATCTAATTACTTTTATGTAACTCAATATCCTTACTTAGAATTTATTGCTTGTCCTGGTAATATACTTTATGCTCACCTTCTTGCAGATTATGCAACATATTTAATTTTTCTGGGTAAATTTGCTTTCTTTTTACTACTGTTAGATATAGGTAATACTGCTGATTCTAGCAATTATTCAGTGCACAACACAGTGTTTCTAAATACAGGGAAGCTGCTGTGCAGCACATCCTGGCGTTACTCAAGTTGATACCCAGCTGGCTTGTTTCACTTAGCGTCTGTTTTCCAAGTTCATTCCTGTTGTCACGTGCTACAGGACCGCTTTCCTTCCTAAGGCCAAGTGACATTCTGTTGTATATGCATGCATATAACACCTGATATGTCTGTGTGCATGTGTGTATGCATGAAGGCGTGTCTGTGTGTAGGTATATATGTACGCATGTATATAGGAATGCTTGTGTGCATAGGTGCATGCATCCATTGGTAGACATTTAGCTTGCTGCCATGTTTTGACAATCATGACTGCTAGTAAAGACTCTAGGAGACTCTAGGACCCAAATTTCAATCCTTTCAGATATATTACAAAAAGAAATAGAATTACTGAATAAAATGATAGTTCTGCTTTGAACTGTTAGAAAAGTTTGCACTATTTTCCATAGTAAGAATACCACATTTTACATTCCCACTAACAGAGCACAAGTGTTCCTATGGCTTCATTGTCACCCATACTTACCCTGTGTTAACAGTCATCCTGACTAATGTATAATGATGTCATTGTAGTTTTAATTTACAGTCCCCTCATGATTAGTGATGCCAAACATCTTTTAATAACCTGACTAGCCAAGTCATTTCCTCTTTTATTCACACTATCAGTCCCAAATATTTTCTGCCATCTCTAAGTTCACTTCTCCAAGTTGTCTCCTCTTTAGCTTGTTTTAGACATGCTTGTCTAGTTTTGCTTTTGCGGGTTGAGTTTGGGGTGCTGCGTGCTTGAAATTGTTTTCACAACAAATGTCATGGAAGTTGTCTCCCAAATTTTCTTCTTTCATTTAAATAACAGTACCATTGAGTTTTTGATGAGAATCTATGTCGTCTACAGACCGCACTGGGCAACATGCATATTTTAACAGTATTAAATCTTCTATTTCATTAGAACTGGATATCATTCCATTTACTTGCATGTTCATTCATTTCACTCATTACGGTTTCATAGGGTAGAGTTGTTTCACTTCCTTTGTTGAATTTATCCCTAGACATTATTTTGGTGATACTGAAACTGGAATATTTATTAATGTCTTTCTTGGTTCATTATTAGACTATGGAAACAAAATTAATTTTATATGCTAATTTTATATACTGCAACATTTCTCCATTTATTATTGCTTATAGGCTATAGTTTCCTGAATATAAGATAATGTCATCTAAATACAGAGAAAATTTCCTTCTCCCTTTGTCTTCTGCTTCATTCTTTTTATCTTCGCTGTTCTGAACAAGATGTCTGTATGTGTCAGGTAGAGACATTGATCATGGGTATCCTGTCCTTGGATCTGACTTTAGAGAACAACTTCTCAACTTATCCTGCCTATTATGGTGGTAGCTGTGGTCTCCTTATAGATAGCCTGTGTTACACTCAGGAAAATTCCGCATAGATCTGTTTTGTTGAGAGTTTTACTCTCTAACACAAAAGGTATTGGATTCCATCAAACACTCTTTTCTGTGTGTGGTTGTTACATTTCATTTTAGTAGCCTGGCATGTGGTGTGTTGCATTAACTGATTTGTTTATGTTGAGCCATTTTTAGAGCCCCAGAATAAATCCTACCTAGTTACAGTGTGTGGTCCTTTTATTGCATTGTTAGTTTGCTAGCATTTTGCTCAGAATTTTTGCACCTATGTTTATCTGATAATTGATCTTTCTTGTAATGGCTTTGTCTGGCTTGGATATCAATATAATACTGAGGCTACAATGAATAGGTGTATACCAACAGATGGATAACCTAGAAAAATAATTTCCTAAATCATACAACCTATGAAGAAATATATCATCATAGTCGACGAACTAACCATTAGTAAAGAAATGAAGGAAGTGATCAACCATATCCTCAAGAAAAGGCCAGGACTGGAAGAGTTCACTCCCCAGTGTTTAAGGAATTAGTGCCAGTAATCCTTCTTACACACTGTCCTTCATAAAAGTGAAGACAAAAATCCCTTAACTCTTTTCATAAGGCCATTTACTTTGCCAGCATATGGAGTAACTTTTTGAGCAATCCTGTGAAATGTCAACAACACTGAACATTAAGGTCACCTTGTGATTTCAGCTAAAGCAACTGCGTTGAGTTCACTGAACAACTAAGAGAGGAAGGCAAGATCCTCGATGAGGAAGGAGTCTGAAGAGGCTCTTTATCCCATTGGCCTGTTTGGATGTAACTCAAAAGCAAAGAAGTCTCAGCTCTGTTCACGTTTCGCACCGTTTAATTTCTCAGGGTCTCCCGCCTTCTCCACCACCCTTCAGCTTTCGCATTGTGAGGTGCCTGCATCACGTATCAGATTAACATGGCGATGCTTACTCATGTCCTGAGTAACCCAATGCTTGGTCACAGCCAGTGCAAGGCTGAGCTCGCAGGGTCACCTCTCTCAGTATCTACCTTACCTTCTCATGAGTTCGACCTTTTGTTCCATTGCTCTAAAACAGCACTATGCCTCCAAAACAGTCTAGTCTAGAAAATTTAGCAGGAAAAGAACCCTGCTAATTGTGTGTACCCACAGTGGATGGACATTCTGACTGAAACAGCCTGTCTCTGGAGACCAGGGGAAAGTGCTTGGCCACAAACTCTTTCTCTCTTACCAATTCTGTAATGTTATGACCAAGTAAGCAAAAGACTCTTTGATTTTATTTCATCTTCTGAAAAGAAAAAAAGTAACAGTCACTTTATATACGTCTCACGTTGGTGCTGGCATGAAAGGAACAGTCATTAGCTGATTACAAACTGGGTTTGAAACAGCTCCAGGAAGGCCCAATGGATGACCACAGTGCCTCCTAATGGATATTAAATCATCTTTAAAAGGTTTTTTTTAATGTGACAAAATCACAACTTTATGTCCATCCCAATTCATTCTACCTCTATAAATCTGAAGGAATTAACTTGAAGTCTAGAAGATTAAGAAAGCAGAACATAACCCTGGGATATGTCTACAATACAAAACGTTTGTGCGGTAGCAATCTGCTTTGCTGGATGTCTTTAGATGCACTAGCTGTGCCAACCAGTACGAAACAGGAAGGCAGACTCGGATGTTAGAACTCTTGATACAGCCTCATGGACATGGGTCTAAATAAATGACATTATTTTTTGAAATTGAAATGTAGCTACATCATTTTCTCTTTCCCTTTCCTCCCTCAAGTCCTCCAATGCATGCTTCATCGCCTTGCCCTCACTCAAATCTGTGGCCTCTGGGCTCTTTTTCTTTAATTGTTATGTACATATAATTACATATTATACATAATCTATATATTAACTATCATAGATTATATTATATGTCATATATAATATGTAACTGTAGATTAACAGAGAATCGCATGTATTGTCACTAGATATTGTGAATAATACATAATTTTATTATATGTTGTGTATAGTATATAGGTATATAATAACAATATACAGGATTTCCCACCGAACAAGAGGGAAATCAAAACTCAGTCAGTTTCTCAGGTCCAGTGAGGTCATGAATCTTGGGGAATCCACCCCCCACTCTATTACCCACAGACAGTGTGGTTATCACCCCTCAAGAGATGCACTTCTCTTTGTGACAGACAGAGACCATTATAGAAGCCCACAGACGAGCAAAACATAGAGAATGTGTGACTGTGTGGTAATCAGCCCCAGCTGATTGATCTAAACAAACCGTGTTAGAAGAGGGGACGCGGGACTCACGAGAAGACTCAGCTGGGTGAGTGTGTTTGCCACTGCACCTGGTGACCTGAGTCCAGACCCTCAATCCCCTCGCAGAAGGAGAAAACAGACCTCCATAGCTTATCCCAATTTCCACACATGTGTCCTGGCATGTATTGTATGTGTGCGCACATACATACACGCATGTACACACACTCACTCATGCATACATGCACTCACAGAGGGAAGCTAACAGCTATAATAACTGGAGGACATTAGGGCTACAAGCACGCTGAAAAAAATTGGATTCCACCAATACTAATATAAATTAAAATTACAGTAGCAAGACAATACTTCAGCTACTAAGTAATGTTTTCTAAATAACAATAAATATTATTATTATTAATAAAAATTGCCGATACTTGCAAGGGCCACATGTAACAGTATTGTTACACAAATATCATCACAAAACATTAAAACAAATATCAAATTGTGTTATCAATATCAAATAAATCGGTGATATCCTCTGACCCAGACACCCTTTGCTTTGGGGAAGAAATAATTCTGAACACCCATGATACAGCTTGCCAGTCAGTATTATTGTGTCAAGTTCATCCTTAATTAAAAACTTGCAATTGACTGTTTTAGTGTACAGGATTTCTGGCATTTCCCCTACTCCATCTCCTTCCCTCCCCACCCCCGACTCCTGCTTTCATGTATCAGAATTTTCGGGGCGCATCTAGAGCCTTCTGTGCCTTCTGTTTCCTTGGTGGCTCTTCTCCCCCTCTCAATTTCCAAGTGTGTCG